CTCATTCTGAGCTGAGCTTCCCAATCCTTCAGAAGGGTCAGTGCTGCTGCCAGGGGCAGGGGAAGGACTTCCTTGTGCTCCTGGGGAGGAAAACTTGGGGAAATCACAGTAAAAACAAGTGATCTGTGGGCTGAGCAGGGAGGTGAAGCTTCAGTGCCTGTGACATGGAAAGTGTCCCATGAATTCCCTGATTTCCAGTCGTGCTGCACCAGGGCAGACACTGGGTGTGAGGAGCAGCTCTGTGCTCTGCCCTGGAATTTCCTCTCACAGACTGAGCTTTGTGAGCCCTGGCAGAGCAGAGCCAGAGGGGATGTGTGCCTGTGGTGCTGCTGTGGGAGCCGGAGCAGGAGGAGGGGAGGTGGCTGTGCCATTCCCACACACAGGAGCTGTGGCAGGGCACGGGGCTGGGCTTGGCAGGCACAAAGTTGGCTTTCTGTGCTTGGAGTAGGAGTAATGTGATTAATTTGTCCTCTGGCTCCCAGAGCTTTTGAGGAAGATATTCAAGACTGGCTAGTGGGGAACTCCTGGAAGATGATTTCCATAGCCAGTCTGAGTCTCTCATTTGTACCTGGAGATAAATTTGCTGTGCTTTCCAAGAGGATTTCCCTACAGAGCCTGATCTTTGCAGCTTGTTTTACCAAAGCCAGAAATCACTGTTCTTTCCAGCTTCTCTGGATGGATTGAAAGCAATCTGGTGGAGCATTGTTCTGTGTTGGACAGCTACACACAGCAAAAGTAATTTTACCTATTTGTATTTTGGCATAGCTGGGATTTTTCCAGGTAACCTGAAACTTTTGGAAATGACTGAAAAGTAGTTTAAAAGGAGTTATCCCTGCAAAACAGAGCACTATGCCCTGAAGGAAAGGAGAAATTCTGCTTGTCTGACTGGGGAGTGTGGCCAAAGAGAACCTTCCCGTTACTCACACACCTTGTTTTGCTGGTGTCCAGCTGTCCTGACAGGCTGTTTGTGTCTGTCCCTCTCCCCAGGCCCAGCATGTCTGGTTTGCACCTTGTCAAGCAGGGCCGGGACAGGAAGAAGGTGGATGTGCAGCGGGATTTCACCGTGGCGTCTCCAGCAGAGTTTGTGACTCGCTTTGGAGGCAATAAAGTTATTGAGAAGGTAATTCCCTGTCCTGTTCCAGATATCCCAGCTCCTCTCTGCAGCTCTGCCTTGTCTCTCTCTGAGGCTGTACATTGCAGGTATCAAAGCACTGATGTTTCTGAGCTTGGAAGTTGTGCTTCTGCCTGGAATCATTGGGTTTCCGTTTTCTCTGTGATAAACAAACATCTGATTATTTTAGTTTAGAGTAATAAGAAAAAAGATGTGAATGAGCCAGAGCACTTGTGCTGGTACAGAAGGATTAATAGACAGAAAAAACAAGTAGACGAAAAAAACATTAAGAAATGTATTTAAAAATGCTTAATAATTTGATTTCAGTTCTTCTGCTGTTTAATCCAACCAAGGCATAACACATTAAAATTTTATGGTGAAACAAGAGCTGCTCTCTGAACTGACAGATGGGCCATGAGCAGGATGCTGGCTAAAAATCTGCACAGCCCCAAACTGGGCAATAAATCTGTGGGGGGAAAAAACTTCTTTAATGATTGTTAACATGTAAATAGAAAATATATAAATAGAAAAATTTGTAAATATAAATAAATATAAATATATAAATATAAATGTTGTGCTATTTATATAAATAGAAAATATATAAATATATAATAATGTATATTTATACTGTATAAATAATGATATATAATCAATATTTAATATACATTTTATACAGATATAAAATATATAAATATGAATAACTATATAAATATAAATTCTGTGCTATTTAGACTCTGTTTGATGCCAGCTTCTGATGCCCCCAGGTGCTGATAGCCAACAATGGCATTGCAGCAGTGAAGTGCATGAGGTCCATCCGCCGCTGGTCCTACGAGATGTTCAGGAACGAGAGGGCCATCAGGTTCGTGGTCATGGTCACCCCTGAGGACCTCAAAGCCAATGCAGGTGAGCTGGGCAGGGTCACAGCCTCCTCCTGGCCCTGGGAGGGCTCAGCCTGGAAAAAAGCAGGATTTGAGAGTGAGTCCTGCTCCAAAAAACCAGGAGTTTGGAGTGAGTCCTGCTCTAAAAAAAGCAGGATTTTAGAGTTAGTTCTGCTCTAAAAAAGATGGATTTTAGAGTGAGTAAAGCAGGATTTTAGAGTGAGTCCTGCTCTAAAAAAGCAGGATTTTTGCGTGCTGTTAGATTTGCAGCCTGATGTACCCCTGTGTTTGCAGAGTACATTAAAATGGCAGATCACTACGTGCCCGTGCCAGGAGGACCCAACAACAACAACTATGCAAACGTGGAGCTCATCCTGGACATTGCCAAGAGGATCCCAGTGCAGGTGAGAGGTGCCACAGACCCTGAGCTGTCTCCTGTCCTTCAGGAAGGAGCTGTGCTGGGGAGCAAGGCAGGACAGAGAAACTGGAATTCCAAACCAGATGGGCACCCAAAGGCAGCCGTGGGACAGTGCAGGGCTGTCCCAGTAGGAACATCTGCAGGAGAAGGAGATCCCTGCAGCACTTTCCTGCACCCAGATCTTCCTCAGATCCTCCTCACCCACATCTTCCTCACCCAGCTCCTCCTGAGCCTGCTTGCACTTGCCTGCAAGGTGCAAGCCACCCTTTAAATTCAGCACACCCTGCAGCTCAGAGGCTGTTCTGAGGCTGTTTTCCATGAGGAAGAGAAAGACTTGGAGTGTTTGCATGTGTCTGTTTCTGCTCACTTGCTTGTTGCATTCAGACAAAGAGCAAATTGTTTGTTTCCTCCTGCAGGCTGTGTGGGCTGGCTGGGGCCATGCATCAGAGAACCCCAAACTGCCAGAACTTCTGCACAAAAATGGGATTGCATTCATGGGTGAGGAGATGGACTGCTCTTCTGGTGTCTAGGCTTTGTTTGGAGGTGGGAAGGTTTAGGGGGATAGAAACCCTGAGCCCAAGAGAGAGCCATGTGGAATGGTCTGCAGTGCAGGATGGATGAAATGTTCTTTACAGCAGTTCTTGTATGGAAGAAGGGGAAAGTTTTCTCAAACATCCTTTAATGTAGAGGTAAAAAATCAGGAAAGATTCCTGTTAAAGCAGATTGTCCCTGTTCTCATTTTGGAGAGGGCTCAGTTTTATGGGAGGAGGGGGGTTTTTCCTAAATCAGATTTCTGGACCTGCCCTAATGTCCAAACCCCCCATGTCTCTCTCATGCATGGTCTTTGCTCTCTGCAGGTCCTCCCAGCCAAGCCATGTGGGCCTTAGGAGATAAAATTGCCTCTTCCATCGTGGCTCAGACTGCTGGCATCCCAACTCTTCCCTGGAGTGGCAGTGGTAAGAGAGAAATTGTCCTGTGTTTGTCAAGAGCATCCTGATCTTCTTTCCCTCCAGCATGTCCAATTTTTAAGAAGCTCTGTGCTCACAAGTGTGTTCCAGGAGATGTTCCATCTGTTCAGGGTTTCCCATTTGTGCTGTTTGCCCAGAACACCAATGACATTGGGGGTGGGATGAGCCTGGGGTGGTGGGAGAGGCTGGCAGCATGCAGGAGGGTGGGGAGGAGAACTGAGCAAACATGGAAGAGGTTCTTTCCTGGAGTGCAGCTGATGCTCACAGGCTCACCTGCTACACCCTGGTCTGATGGAAGGTGTCCCTGCCCTGGAACAGGATGATCCTTGAAGTCCCTTCCAACCCAAAGCCCCCCATGATCCTGTGCAGTTTTGGAGCCCATGCTCTGCTGCCATGGAATTCCTCTGCAGCTCCAAAGCCCTGTAAATAGCAGCGTTCTTCTCACAGATAAATGGAGGAGGATGTGATGGATTGGATAAAACCCCTTGCTCCCCAGAGATCAGCAGTGTCTGTTTGCACTCTGCACTCTCCTTTTCTGAGGGCTGCCAGCCCTTGCTCAGCACTGTGACTGTCACTTGTGTCCTGCAGTGGCTCCTCACAGCCTGGCAGCACAGGGAGCTCAGAGGGTGCTGAGGACATTTCTTGTGTTTAAAGGTGGTAATTTGTGTAGGCTGTGCACATTTAACTGTGCCTAGACCAACTCTGTCCCAGTGGTTTGGAATTCACCCCTGTGAATTATTGGATAGACAGAGGAGATGAATGGGTTCATTTAGAGGGGCTTTATCAGACTTCAGCTGGAAATACAGACTCCAGTCTGGCTTTGTCAGTTTGTGCTCTGGTTTTAAGTCACTTTGTGCTCCAGGGCTGCGAGTGGACTGGCAGGAGAACGACCTCCAGAAGCGCATCCTGAGCGTTCCCCAGGAGCTCTACGAGAAGGGCTACGTCAGGGATGCTGATGATGGCCTCAGGGTGGGTCTGGGGGCTCCAGGGTGGCTCTGGGGGCTCTACAGGTGGGTCTGGGGCTCCCAGCATGGCCCTGGGGGTTTTCATGTTACCCAGGGTTTTCATGTTAAATGATTTTCTGTATTACTCAAAAGCTTTTCTGTGAATTCGTAGATTTAATGGCATTGAAGCACTGACAAAAGATTTTGTGATCACTTGCAGAGGTCAGAGTTCTCTGTAATCACAAAATCCCTGCTGATTTTTCCAGCTACAGACACTCTTGCCAATGGGATGTTTGGTTGCTATGTCATTGGTTGCTAAATAGTCAGATGTGGATGTGAATCAGAAGGGAAATAAGGAAATAATGATCTTTTCACTGGATTCTGCTGCTTTTTTGTCCTTACCCTGCTGTTCTGCTCCTCTTGCCAGGCTGCTGAGGAGGTTGGCTACCCTGTCATGATCAAGGCCTCTGAAGGAGGAGGAGGAAAAGGGATCAGGAAAGTGAACAATGCAGATGACTTCCCCAACCTGTTCAGACAGGTGATGCTCCCGCTCCCCTGGGCTCGGATCTCTGTGAGACCCCAGCACTGAGGGCGCCTCTCACATGGGGTGCTCTGCCTCTCTCTGCCCCTGCTGCAGGTTCAAACAGAGGTGCCAGGCTCCCCCATCTTTGTGATGAGGCTGGCCAAGCAGTCCAGGCACCTGGAGGTGCAGATCCTGGCAGACCAGTACGGCAACGCCATCTCGCTCTTCGGCCGCGACTGCTCCGTGCAGCGCCGCCACCAGAAGATCATCGAGGAGGCCCCAGCCTCCATTGCCACCTCGGCAGTGTTTGAGCACATGGAGCAGGTGAGAGGGGCTCTGCAGCTTGCCCTGCCCTGCCAGGACTTGGTATTTTTGTTGTACATCACCTGGAGTTGTGCATTGTTGAGTGTTTGAAAGGAGCGATGCAGGGCTTTGTGTCTCCACCTGCTTGCTGTGGGCAGCCGCTCACATTTCCACACTAAATCTCCAACACCAACAGCTAAATCTCCAGTCTTCCACACTAAATCTCCAACACCAACAGCTCATTTCAAAGATAAATGCCCCCCCCAAAAAAAGGGGAGGGAAGTGTGTTTTAAATGTGTTAAGTTTTGCATTGGTGAGTGTTCGAAAGGAGCAATGCAGAGCTGTGCGTCTCCACCTGCCTGCTGTGGGCAGCCACTCACATTTCCACACTAAGTCTCACCAACAGCTCCTTTCAAAGATAAATGCTCTCCCAAAAAGGGGAGAGAAGTGTGTTTTCAATGTGTTACCATATTAAAAACAAGTTTCAGGAGTTGCAGGAATTGCCTGATGTTGGGTGTTGCAAATATTTGCTTCAAGCTCTGCCTTCTGTGAATTGTAGATGAAATAAGTCAGAAATCAAAACTCCACTGGCTTTTCTCTTGGGCCTGTTACAAATGTTGGGGTGTTTCAGAATGGCAGCAGAAATCTGGAGTGGGTGTGCTGGGTGAACAGAGCGAGCAGGGGGGACTGGCAATGCAATGTTCCTGTTTAGTGTGACTGGCAGTGCAATATTCTTGTTTTGTGTGTCCCAGTGTGCAGTGAAGCTTGCCAAGATGGTGGGCTATGTGAGTGCAGGCACTGTGGAGTACCTGTACAGCCAGGATGGCAGCTTCTACTTCCTGGAGCTGAACCCACGCCTGCAGGTGGAGCATCCCTGCACTGAGATGGTGGCAGATGTCAACCTGCCAGCAGCACAGCTCCAGGTGAGCACACACATGGAATTTCCCATCTTTCAGCAGTTGTTTGGTGCTCCTCAAAGGCACCAGGGGATCCCTCAGAGATCCTGTAGAGAGCAGTTGTTGGTGTGCTGTGGCTTGTCAGCCCCTTGTGTGTCCCCCCGGCTTTCTAGCAGTGGGTGGATGCCACAGTGCCCTCACACCTCAGTAAGGCTCTGTGTGATTTTCTACTTCTTTTTTAAACTGTATCTATAAAAAAAACCCAACTAATAAACAGGGGAAATGGGATTTTGCTCCATAAGGATGCAGCCAGCAGCTGGTTCTGCAGGTTACTCTCCCCACAGTTTATAATTGCAAAATTCCACAGTTTCCTATAACTAATTAGGGCCCTTCTGCCTCACTGGGACCTCAGTATATTTTTACCAGGCCTAATGCATGCCCATCCTCAGCTGACCTGGCACTGCCAGCTTTCCCTGGAGCCTTTTAATCAGTGAATGGAAAATGCTGGCTGGAGGGCTTAAGGTGGATATTGCACTGAGCTGAGCTGTCCTGGGAAGTGTGAGTGCTTGCCTCTGTGAGGAGACAAACTCAGTGGTGGGGCTTGTTTGTTTATTTATGTTTTCCTCCTCAGATTGCCATGGGGATCCCCCTGCACAGGATCAAGGACATCAGGGTGATGTATGGAGTTTCCCCCTGGGGGGACACAACCATTGACTTTGAGAACTCGGCCCACGTGCCCAGCCCTCGTGGGCACGTCATCGCTGCCCGCATCACCAGCGAGAACCCTGACGAGGTGAGGCCTCCCCTCTGGCCCTGCTGCTCACCCTGGCCTTCCCAGGGCCTCTCCCTGCTGCTGCTCAACATTTTGGCAGCAAATTTAACACATTCTTCCCTTACCTCTCTTAGACTCCGTTAGACACAGCCTGCACTTGTTACACCACGTTGCAGCACAAAGGGCTGTTCTCAGAGCCCTCATTCTGGGTTATTCACCTTTTCTTGAGGGCACAGAGCAACATCTGAGTGTCTGTGTGTCTTTGCAGGGGTTCAAGCCCAGCTCTGGCACAGTCCAGGAGCTGAATTTCCGCAGCAATAAGAATGTCTGGGGCTATTTCAGCGTGGCTGCTGCAGGAGGGCTCCACGAGTTTGCTGATTCCCAGTTTGGTCACTGCTTCTCCTGGGGGGAGAACCGTGAGGAAGCCATCTCGTAAGTGATGTGGGAGGCCTTGGACGTTGCTTGGCTTGGTCCTCTCTGATCCAGGGAAAACAAGGCTCCTTACTTCTGGGAGTTTCAAGAGCAATTTCCCCATCTTTATCTTGTTTTCCATTTTGTGGCCAGGCTCCTCATCCTGTCTTGCTTTGCAATTCCACTATGTTGCACCTACATTTCTACACTATTTGCTTAATTTTCTTTCTTTTTCTTCCTTTCTGTTTCATCCCTGCCTTGTATACCTGCTGCTGGGCTGTGACACAGCCACCACAGGGTGAAAATCTCTCTTTAAAGCATCCAGGTGAAGGCTTCTAACAGGAAAACACTGCTAACCTGACTGACCGTGGAGTGTCCTCTGTGGTGTGGGATTTTAAAGCACCTGGTCCTCAGGCAGACCTGTCTGACCTGTCATCCACATTTTTCATCCAGAGCCTTTCCCAGTTCCACTCTGGGTGGGGTGGACACCACATCTGTCTGTCTGTCTGTCTGTCTGTCTGTTGTACACCCCTGACATGTGGTAGGGCGCTCGGTGATGATGGCAGGGGAAATTCCTGATTTCACTGAGCTGCTCTTCCCAGCAACAGCAGGGAAATCAATATTCTCCCATTCCCAACCATCCCTTCAGCAGGGAAATCAGTATTCTCCCATTCCCAACATCCCTTCAGGACCCTGCTCCATCCAGTGCCCGCGCTCCTCTGCTCTGACCTTCAGGTGCTTTTCTGTCTGCAGCTGCCATTAGGATGGGATAGATAACAGGGCTTCTTTTCCCTTTCAGGAACATGGTGGTGGCTCTGAAGGAGCTGTCCATTCGAGGGGACTTCAGGACCACTGTGGAATACCTGATCAAGCTGCTGGAGACAGAGAGCTTCCAGCAGAACCGCATTGACACGGGCTGGCTGGACCGGCTCATTGCTGAGAAAGTGCAGGTGAGCTGCTTCCCCTGCAGGGACACAGCTGGCAGGGGCAGGGGTGGGGCCTGCTGCTGCTAAAGGGTGTAGGAATGGTCACTGTCCACTTGATGAATAAATATTTTCAGTGGCATTGCTTCCTACATATATCGGAATCCTAGTCGTCCCTGTTGGGGAAAGTTGGTTTTAAAGTTGTCCAGAAAAGCATTGAGACAATGTTATGTTTGGAATCTGGGACAGATGACAGTGGAAATGTTGTTGGAAGCTCAAGATGTGATCCAGGCAGAGGAAAATGTAGTTTTAAAGGGCTACAGAAATAATGGCTTCTGTGTAGGGTTCACATGGCTGCCACACTGACTTGATTTTAGAGTGTTGGCCGTGAACCAGAAATGGAGCTGAGGCTGCTGATTCTTGTAGCTGTGTGTTGAGCCTGGGCTGAGGCTGGGGGAGGTGTGACTGTGGCTGTCCCTTTTTTAGGCTGAGAGGCCTGACACCATGCTGGGCGTGGTGTGTGGGGCCCTGCACGTGGCTGACGTGAGCTTCCGAAACAGCGTCTCCAACTTCCTGCACTCCCTGGAAAGGTGAGAGGCCAAGCTGCTCTCCAGGAATCCCTGCTGCTCCACAGGTTCTGTTCAATGCAGCCCAGCAATGCTCAGGGGCTGTTATCTGCTGCCTGCTGCCTGGCCCCAGGGAGCTCTTTATCTGCTGGGAAAACTGGCGGGTATCTGCATCTGCAAACATCCCCTGCTGGCTGCACAGATTGCTTTGGTTTCTAGCAGGAGCTCCAGGAAATGGCTCAGAAATACGGAGTTCTTGCTCTGTGTGCTGCTAGGACAGCATTAGGGAGTCTGGAATCACCCAGGAGTGGATGGAAAGGAGAGCAAAGCTGCCCTGTGTGGCTGGAGGGGCTTGGTTTGATTTGGTGAAACTGATTCGTGTCTCTCCTAAGAAGAGGCTCTATAAAAACCTACTCCCATCTCTCTGCCAGTGTTTCCTAAAGCCTTGCATGCATCTCTGAAGCTCTTTGGACCCCTGGCAGTCCTTTGGTTGCTTGTGGAAGATGAGTTTTGTTTTGTCCTTCCCTTTCCAGGGGCCAAGTCCTCCCTGCTCACACTCTGCTCAACACGGTGGACGTGGAGCTCATCTACGAGGGACGGAAATACGTGCTGAAGGTACAGAGTGGGAGCCACCCCCTGCCTGGGCTGCACATAACCCTAACCCCTGTGCTGCTCTGGCCTCCCCTTTGCACAGATCTGTAGAGGGAGTTCTGTCTGAGCAGGGCTGATTTTCTCTGCTTTAGTGGGTGAAGAAATCAGCAGGGCAACACCCCTCGCATGGCCCCATTGCAATGTCTGTAAACATTTCAGCCTCTTGCTCGGAGCAGGGTGAAATTTGCTTTGTTACAGGCAAAAACTACTACAAAGTAGTTTTGTTTTGGTTGAGCAAAACTTCCAGCTGATTTTTCTGAATGTGTAGGTCTGCTCTGCTGGGGTTTTGACACACCAACGTGACAGAATTTGCAGCAATTTCTCCCCATGGTGTTGCTTTTTTTGCTGCATGCAAAAGCCCCATGTTGCAAAACCAAACAAACATGTGAAAGTTAGGAAATATTAGACTTAAGGTTGCCTGTGCAATCCTCTTTAGCTTACTGGGGCAAATTTGTGTTGATGAAGTTTTTCATGGCAAGACCATAGGCTGGTTTTTGCAGCAGTGAGAATTTTGCACCTCCCTGGATTTATCTTTGGTGAGGAATAGAAGCATTGAGCAGCAGCTGAAGTGTTCTTTGAAGGATTTACCCAGCTTCAATAGATAATCTGGGGCAGAGACTGGGATAGGATCCCCTTCTCAGGGAGAGCACTTGTTGCTTTCCCTGTGGGACAATCTCTCATTTTCCCCCCCAGGTTATCTCCATTATGCAGTGTAAGTGCACAACTGTGCCTTGTAAGGAGATAAGGGTGAGCAAATTGTGATTGCACAATCAAACCTCAACCTTCAGTGCAGAAGTGTGAGAGGATTAAATCAGCATTCATGGACAGCACCAGTCCTGGCATCTCTTGGCTGCTATGTCACAGAATCCCAGACTGGTTTGGGTTGGCCCTTGTAAAAAGCCTCTCTTCATTTTTCCTGTGGGCTTCTGGAAGGCCACATTTAAACCTCCCCAGAATTTCTGTTCTCCAGGCTGAACAATCCCAATTCTCTCAGCCCTGAGCTGCTCCATCCCTCTGTTCAGCTAGCTTCCTTGCCTTTGCAACCCCAATTTTTTCACACAACATCAAACCCCTCCGTCCCTCTTCATCAATTCCCGCTATTGCAGCGCTTGGAAAACTCTGTGTTGTGGCTGGCAAGACCCTCAGTGCTGTGCTCAGTTCCCTGGGTAATTCCCACCCTTGTGGCTTGGCAGGTGACCAGGCAGTCTCCCAACTGCTACGTGGTGATCATGAACAGCTCCTGCGTGGAGGTGGACGTGCACCGCCTGAGCGACGGCGGGCTGCTGCTCTCCTACGACGGCAGCAGCTACACCACCTACATGAAGGAGGAAGTGGACAGGTAGCAACCTCTGCAGCTCCATCTTTAGCCTTTGCACAGCCAAAATGAAGCGTATTTGTGACTTCATGCTTCCCAAAAGGTCAGCTGGGAGGGGAGTTCTCTCCTAGGAGGAGTTTACTGGGTGCGCTGTGGGTGAGTTTTGAGACAGAGCAGATCTTGGCTTCTGTTAGAAGAAGGATCTGGCTGTGCACCAAGCGGAGTCCATATTCCTCTGCTTTGTCCTTAAAAGTGACTTTTGAGATTATAAAAACCAAAAAAACCCAGAACCTGAAAATCTTTAAAATTCATGTAATTCCACGGCTGCTTCAGAAATAAAGACAAGTTTCAGTGCATGCCCTCAAAATTCCCTGCAAGGATCAGAGCAGTAAGGGCAGCAAAGGGCATCCCCAGATCTGGAATGTGAACTCTGCCCCTCTGCTGTGTTATCTTCTGGGAAAAGTAATGGATCTGCTCAGGAGGACAGGGAATTTGGGCAACTCTCTAGGTTGGAGTCTCCACCTTTCTGTTGGCTGAGGTGTTTTCCCGTAGTTTTGTTTCAAAGTAGAACAGGGAAAGGCAGAGTGGATTTTCCCTTTCCCACACCTTTCCCCAGGGAATTCTGTCCCTCCCCAGGGAATTCTGTCCCTCCCCAGGGAATTCTGTCGTGCTGATGTGTCCTGCTGTTCCCCAGGTACCGCATCACCATTGGGAACAAGACCTGTGTGTTTGAGAAGGAGAACGATCCCTCCATCCTGCGCTCCCCCTCCGCAGGGAAGCTGATCCAGTATGTGGTGGAGGATGGGGGACACGTGTTTGCAGGCCAGTGCTTTGCAGAAATTGAGGTAAAACTCTCAGAGAACTGGTTTGGACCTGGGGAGGGGTGTTGGATGCTCTGGGACTGGGATTTGAGCATGAGGGATCATTCACAGTGTTTAATTTGCAAATTTTAACCTGAAGTACAGTGGGAATCGTCAGTGAGTGTGATGGGGTGGGGAAGAAATTTAACAGCAGAAATTTGAGTGTTAATGGCTGTACACCAAGCGATGAGCAAAATTTCCCAAAAATCCTGAGATTATCACCTTCCTGAGATTCCAAGGGAAGGTGGGATCCATTCCCAGCTGAGGTGAAGAAGGCTTCTCCTTGTACTACTGACACAGAGTTGTGTGCCAGGATGAGGTAACAAACTTTATCCTGGTTAGCTGATCATTTATCAGGCTGATCCCAGAAGTTAATAAGTGTCACTCCTCCCTTCTCCCTAGGAAGTTACTTAACTCTTGCTGAGGAGGAGGAGGAGGATGAGCAGTTTCTGCATCGCGATGAGGAAAGCACAAGGGGCTGTGTAGGAGTGTGTGGCTCAAAACAGATTTGAGGGAGGGGAAGGTGTGTGATGACAGAGGGGCAATTAAACCAGCTGGGGACAATGTGTAGGAGAAGAATATCAAGACAGAGATGCAGCTATTTTATGTAAGTGCTTCTGCACTGCAACAGGTCATGGCTAAAAAGGCACCACCCACACAATCTGGTGTAGAGCAGAGCAAGGGTAAAACCAAGCTGGCTCCCCCATGCCCAACCCCTCTGCTCCAAAGGCAGCAGCTCTTGATCTAGGGAAGCTTTTCTGTCTGGGAAGAACTCTCTGAGACCTCTAGAAAGTGATCCTGCTTCCCTCTGTTTGACGTGAAGATGTGGCTGCAGCCTTTGAGAGGAGCCTTTGGGACGCAGCAGAAAATTGTCAGCTTTGTTCATTGTGCTGAGTGTGGGACCTTCCTGAGTGCCCTGCTGGTTCAGGCAGTGTGAGCAGTGCCATTCCTGAACCTCCTGCTGCACTATCGGTGGCCAATTATTTTGTTCTCCCATTCACTTCAGTGTTCCCAACATCTGTGCTTGTGAGTTTTGGGCACACCTGAGTGCAGCTCTGTCTGTGGTGGGACACTGCCTGCTGCCCCCCAAAACCAGAGCCATTTTGGGGCGTATGGAGCTGAGTGTGTAACCTGTTTCCTTGCTACAGGTGATGAAGATGGTGATGACCATAACAGCAGGGGAGTCAGGCTGCATCCACTATGTCAAACGCCCGGGGGCAGTCCTGGACCCAGGCTGTGTGATTGCCAAGCTGCAGCTGGATGATCCCAGCAGGGTTCAGCAGGTGAGGAGCTGCAGAAGGCACAGATTTCGCAGGGTTTTAATGAGGGAGTAATGTTGGGAGTGGTACAGGATGTTCCAGTGAGCCAGTTTCCCATTTGTGCACTGGAATTGTCATTCACCGTTTATTTGTCTCAGATCAGGACTGGCACTGAGATTTTTCTCTCCCTCCCGGATTCAGGCCAAACTTACCTACCATTTTTGCTCTCTGCTTACCTCAGTGCTGTTGTGAGGATGTGCATTTCCCACTCTGGGAATCCTTGCAGGTTAACCCTTGGCTCCAGCTGAGGGTGACTGGCTGGTGACCCACAGGAGCTCAGTGAGGCTGTTCCCAGTGAGGCTGGTGGCTCACAGGAGGGTCACTGAGGCTGTTCCCCATTGCAGGCTGAGCTGCACACAGGCACCCTGCCCCAGATCCAGAGCACAGCCCTGCGGGGTGAGAAGCTCCATCGCATCTTCCACTACGTGCTGGACAACCTGGTGAACGTGATGAATGGCTACTGCCTGCCAGAGCCCTTTTTCAGCAGCAAGGTACTGGGGCCTCTCTTCCAGAGCCTAAACACTGCCTTGCATCTCAGGAAAGGGCTGGGCAATTTTCCTGCCACAGGGGAGGGGATGTTGGGCATCACCCTCTCCTTTTTCCTCCTGTTGTTGTTTATTCTGTTTTTCATTCTTGCCTTCACTGCCTTGTCTCTCTCCAGGTGAAGGGCTGGGTTGAGCGGTTGATGAAGACCCTGAGGGATCCTTCTTTGCCCCTGCTGGAGCTCCAGGACATCATGACCAGCGTTTCTGGGAGGATCCCACCCAACGTGGAGAAGTCCATCAAGAAGGAGATGGCGCAGTATGCCAGCAACATCACGTCGGTGCTCTGCCAGTTCCCCAGCCAGCAGGTGAGCAGCCACCTTCCTGGAGAGGGAAAATTGCTTTGTGTTGGGGCACACAGAGAGAGAGAAGGTTCCTTTGAATGCCATGGGGGTTAACTGGACCTGAAAGGTGTGTTTGAACAGGGGGTGCTGATGGTGGAAGATCCTTACCTGTGTCACTGCAAGGCTTGTCTCTACCTGTGCTGCAGGGTCCATGCTCCCTGCTCAGCGTGGCTTTAACCAGGCACACTGCTGGGAGCACTTTAATCTTATCAGTGGCCCTGTGGGCATGGTACATGTGCAGTTTGTAGTGCCAGTGGATCCTCAAAATAGGATGATTTTGAGGGAGGATAGGATGATTTGCCAAGGGATGCCAGGCAGGGTCAGAAGATGCTGGAAGCTGATTTCTCCATGGTATGACACACTACACTGATTTTTGTATCACTGGCACATCTTGATCTTCCTTTGCTGGAGTCTGCTGGGGCTCTGCTGTGTCTCTGCTGGTTGTCCAGCCCACTGAGGCCTTTCCCTGTGCTTTTTTCCCCATGTCCCTTTCCCTCTCAGATTGCCAACATCCTGGACAGCCACGCGGCCACGCTGAACCGCAAGTCGGAGCGCGAGGTTTTCTTCATGAACACGCAGAGCATCGTGCAGCTGGTGCAGAGGTGAGCCCTGCCAGGCTGTCCTGCAGAGCAGCAGCCCCCCAGCAGCCCTGGCAGGGGCTGGCTGTGCCTGCAGCTCGCTCAGGGCTGCCTTGGTGCCCCTGCAGGTACCGCAGTGGCATTCGGGGCCACATGAAGGCCGTGGTGATGGATCTGCTCCGGCAGTACCTCAAGGTGGAGACTCAGTTCCAGCACGGTGAGTTGCTGAGTTTGGTCCTGCCAAGTCCCATGTGGGCCCTCTGGGGAAGGTTTGCCCTCGCTTTGTGCTGAGGTGAGGTGCACAGGATTGGTTCTGGGGTCTCTCTGGGTTTTGTGGAGGAGATTCTGTCCCCAAAGCTCAGCTGAACTGAGAGGTGAAATCAATGCCTTGCACTGCTGGATCCAGGCACAAGATGGCAATGGAGCCCTGGCTAATTCCAAAGCTCTGGCTCTTACAGGTAGTTCAGATTCCACTCTTCTTTTGTCCTGCTCCATTACCTGCCCTGGCCTAATGGTACTGCAGATTCATTTCCACTTCAATTTGCTGGCAGCAGAGGATGGTGCAAGGCTTTTTGCTGTTATTTCATTTTGGTTGTCATTTGAATGAAAGTCTGAGCTCCCTATTCCTCTCTCAGAATTGCTCACAAAGGAGGCATTTGGTGTTGGAGCTGTTTATTAAGAGTGGGATGTTAGAATTAAAGTTTGCAGTTGGTGATGGTGGGAATGATTCCTTCCCAGATTGATTGTGTGGACCATAGAGAAACACAGAATGGTCTGGGTTGGAAGGGACTTTAAAGAACATCTCATTCCACCCCTGCCATGGGTAGGAACAACTTCCACTGTCCCAGGGTGCTCCCAGCCCTGTCCAGCCTGGCTTGGGCACTGCCAGGGATCCAGGGGCACCCACAGCCACTCTGGGCGCCTGTGCCAGGGCCTCAGCACCCTCACAAGGAGGAATTTTTTCAAATACCCAACCTAACCCTGCTCCCTGTCAGTGTGAAGCCATTCCCACTTGTCCTGTCACTCCATCCCTTGCAAATAGCCTCTCTCCATTGTCAGCTCCCTTCAAGCCAAGCAGATTCTCAAAAAATACACCTAGAAAAATACAGACACATCTGGTAACTTGCAATCCTTGCCACGGAGGTGCGAAGGGTGGAAAAGCAATGTGCATTTCTGCTGCAGGTCACTATGACAAGTGTGTCTTCACCCTTCGTGAGGAGAACAAGAGTGACATGAACGCCGTGCTCAACTACATCTTCTCCCACGCCCAGGTCACCAAGAAGAACCTGCTGGTCACCATGCTCATTGTAAGGGCCTGCTGTCTGCTTTCTCTCTGTCTTTTTCTCTCTTTCTCT